CTCTCTCTTGAGCAACACGCACCCAAAGCGATTCCCATGAAAATTTGAATGCGACAAAGAAGTAACCAAATGTTACCAATAAACACGGGCTAATACTTCAGGTTTCAATTATTACAAATCTTTCTACTAGAAAGTCTCGTCGACTATATGGAGTGGAAAACCAACAAAAATAAACGTTAGGTGTAAAAATTATGATGGAAAAGTTTTTAATTTCGTTTTTCAGACATTTCTCACTCTTGGCTATTTTCAATATATATATGTGTGTATGGTATGTGTTTCTGCATCAACGCAGCGAAAATGAATTGCGAGCATGTGACCGGAACATGTTTTAAGGCATATTCTAAATTTAATATGAATCAAAAGTTCGGAAATTGTTGCTCCATTTGCATGAATGAATATTGATGTTGCTGTGCCTTTTTTCACTTTTCGTTTCGACGGTTTTAATTAAAGAAAAACATGTAATGTTAAAATAAACCATAACGAGCCACTTTGTTTGTGTTGCATTTGAATTTTCCATTTTTCTACTCTATTATACTGAACATTTTACACTTTACATTTCTCGTTGTATCTCAATCATGAAACTTATGTACAGCACCAGCTCTTGTATACATACGTATCAAATTAAGTAATCTCTTTCTGGTTTTTCGTCGTGATGTTCTTATTAAATCTATCCAAATAACTGAAATTAGCGAATAGCGAAAAAATGAACAAATATTTTTCTCCAACTTAGAAATTCCATTGAATTCTCGCAATTGTCCTTCATTTAATCATCACACTACCAGAAATTTGAGTGCAGCGAATATGTGCTATACTGGGCGCTTTTAACTAGATTCTCTATATCTTCTTTGAAAATTTACATGCAAATATCATCCCGCGTTCTCATTAAAATAAGCATAAAAGGCCTTGACCATATTACACAGAGAATTTGATATCATCATATGCCACATGAAATACGCATTTTCGTCATTTACATATTTTATGATTTATGTTGTCCGCGTATGATGTTAATTCCATTTTTTGCCGATTTGATAAGTTTTTTTTCCTTTTAAACTGCCTTACACCCACAGGCAAATTTTTATGTTCCTTTTTTTCCTTTCGATGTTTCCATTCCCTTAAATTTCAATCATGTTGATAAGTACTGAGTTTCTTCATTTGTATATCTTGATATAATGTGAGGACCCTTGAAAAATTCTACATCATTCGGTAATTAAATTTTAAAAAGTGTCCTAAAAAAGATACAAATTCCCGGCATATTAAATTCAATTGAATTTGTTGAGATGCCACAATCGGAAATGTTTCGGCTAGGTTATACATTATTCGATTTGGTAGTCGAGAGGTACAATATACAAAGAGCGGCCGTCTACATCAGATTATAAACTAATTTGTTAAATGTAAATAAATGCGGTTAAATATTTGACACACAGAAAGAGTGACCGAAGAGAGATAAATTGGTTTATGGAGCATCGTTGTTTGATGAAATAATGATAATATCGAAATTGGTTCCGGTGTGATGACATTTTCCTTTTTCGTCAAGCTCAAGCATACAAGTGGAGAACCATAAAATACAGAAAATGTTCAATGTGAAAGTTGTTTTACATTTTCAATTAATGAAAGGTACTTTCTTGAAATAGACTAGCCGCCGCCGGAATATTCAGATATCAAGCCGCAAAATCAAGTCAAAGTATGGGTGATATGTATGTACCGAATTAGTAAAATTCAATTGTTCGGGCAAGTTCGAAAAATGTTGAATAAGCACGTATCGTGTCGTTCATATATATACCGTCGACCTCTTCTCCTCAAAAACTATGACTATGGGTTAGGTATAGTGTTGTTTGTTTAAGTTATGCTTTGCCACCCAAACTAAATGTCGTTTAGACGATGGTTATTGGCTAACTGCTTCCTGAATCTGTTGCTGCCGTTGATTTTGGATTAGTGTGCGTGCGTGTATGCCTTAATTTGTTCAACGAATTTGTTATTAATAGAACTTAAATGTTGGTGTATGCATGAATATTATATAAGAGGGTTGTTTCTATCTATTTTTATATTTAACGTGAACCATTCAACCGATTCGAACGGAAGAAATTACTGTGTGAAAATTATGAAACGGAACAAAAATTAAATACACCAGAAATGGCAAACATACAGAAAAATGTAAATTAACCAACGCCCTCCTGCCATCGAAACAGCATTAGTTTTATCTTTTTTTGTTCTGTTCGCTTCTATCTTTCTTTTGCGAAACGTGCTACGATTTCCGGTGGCTTAATCTTAAAGCCATTGCTAGCAATCGAATGAAGGTTAAATCACAAAAACGAATGAGCATCATGAAAGAATTATTCTTAAACAAATGTCATGAGACATGCACACGACAATGAATACAATTCGCTTTCGAATACAGGGCATACGTAAGCAGTGACAGTCGGCCCGACACACAGCATTCCGTTTCAAAATGTGTGCACGTAGCTTGCAAACGGAGATCTTGATGAAGCAAATGATAATAAATAAATAATTTGTGCACGAACAGAAGACACTTAATACGTTAGATCCGTTTGTGAGTTTTCTTTGCAACTTGCCTTTGCAAGAGATACGGTGATATTCTTCAAATAGAAAATGAAAATGGAAAAAGACAGGTGCACACGCATTGAGATAAAAACGGATAGAGAGAGAGAGAGCGAAAGAGGGAATTATGTATACTATACTAATCTGCTACAAATTCATTCGACCGGATTAGAAATTAAAAATGCCTTTGTGCCATACACAGAATTGAGTAGATGACACATCAGAAAACCATTTCGAAAAACGAAAACAACGTCTATCTTTTTTTATTAGAAAATATATTGTGTTCTAGTTGAACTTTACTTTTGAATGGGGAAAAATGGCAACAAATAAATCCTCACATGATAAATTGCAGGCGCTTTGAACACATCATATTGGTGAAATTCAAATATCATAAAAACCACGAAATGTAATATCAAGAGATATTCAAATGTAATAAAGCGAATGAAAACAGAACGAGAGAGATGAATTGAAAAGAGAGAAACGAACAGAAACAGCAAACAATGCGCAGTCATTTGATTCGATGCATAAAAATCTATGTCATCATACAAAAGCTTATGCTCTCTCCAAGTGAAATGCATATCTTGAGTGCAATTGGGATAAAAGCGACAGCGATGGTATGTCTGTGTGACGTCACTGCATCCATTGAGCGCACATAGAAAGGAAATAAGGCGAAGCGATTACATTCGGTTTGACGTCATTCGAATGAACGGGGCAAGCGAACGCTTACATACACACCGAATCCAAATACAAACAATCAAAATTTTAAACTGTGGCGCGCACTCAAGTCGCCTAGCTCTTTTCTCTATCTTTCTACAATTTGCGTAAATGTTTCCATTTAATCGTGGAACCTAGCGGCCAAATGGCATCCATGTGAATTGCAAACGTGTGATACATATACAGACAACTCGCACACTCATACACTGAATATGAATTGAAATATCTAGAGCATGATTGTGATAAGCGAAAATCAAGCTTGCATACGCAGTTACCAATAACGCTGTCGATGGTAATATGAATTCGTAACAAACGGAATACGAGTGATTACGGCAAATGTGTGTAAAATGAATGTGAGAGCTGTATATATATAAAAAAAAATTTCAATTAACCATCTATCCATAATTCGCCAATTATAAAGAATAATAAGAAGAAGCGAACCATGTGCTTGGCGATTGTGCATTTGTATGTGCTTGCAGCATGATTTCGGATTGTGGGTTGAAAATACACACATTGCAAATGAATGACGCAAAACGACATCGATAAGCAATGCTAGTTGTAAATACATTGTTGTACATAACATTGTATCTGAAGCCCTTCTGTGTCTTGTGCAGGGGAAAATTTGCAAAAAAAAGCATACACAGACAAAAACGCAACCAACATTCGAACGCAGAATGAAAGCAATCCGAGTGAGTGGATGGTGCCCCGAATTGACTCGATTATGTGATAAGAGACAAGTATGCGAGTTGGATATACGGTGTATAACGTATTCTATAGTGATGACGTTAATGGATCAAAACAAAAACATAGGCGATATCAAGCCCTATATACGCACCGTCATATATTTTCCATTCACTTCATCAATTCAAGTGAGAATGCTTTTATTGCTGGTGTTGTTATGTAGAGGCAGCAGCGGCATTGCGATCTATCGTAAGCGCATACCGCATTGAATTGTGAGGCCAACACATGTGACACTATGTTTATATTGAGTCTCATATTATGTAAGCGACAGAGGGCAAAAGAGAGAAAAATAGACGAACAAACCCATGTTGAATGTAAACAACGATGATGCGGCGTGAATGCGCACCGTAAACGCTACGGCGCTTGACAACAACATACGTATATAAAATGTTTTGGCGACAAATTCAGCAAAAGAACGAAGGGGAATTTCAAAGTCAATGCGCTGAATATCCAACCGAGATAGGGAAAAGCTTGGTGTGTTTACAACGATAGCGCACGCCGAAAACAAATTGTATGTTGTGTGTTGATAACGCTTGCACTCATGTATTGGTATGCAAACACTTGTCTGCTCTCGTCACCTACTTATACATGTACACCAGCCGAGAATCGATTCGCCGAAATGTGACGATACAACGACATTGCAAGAGACCGAGTGTACATACATGTGAACTGATTTCGGATAACGTTTTCGTTGTGGCTCGTTCGTTGCTGTTGAATTGTCGATGCGACCGAAATGGAAAGAGGGATAGCGTGCGCATCGTGAAACTCAGACAAAAGTCGCGAGGTAAATAAATAAATCAACATGCATATATATTGAAAATGTAGAGAATATGTATATTTAACGCTTGAGAATTGAATGCGGCGGCGACTTGGCGTAACGTGTGCGCTTGATACTTTGATAAAAAAGAAACACACAAGCAACCGCTACACATAGCTGAAATAGCAATTTCAGCATCAGCGTTTGTGCTAGTAAGCGAACCACTGAGCTACCGTACGATAGAAAATTTTCGTGACAGCCTCGTTCAATACAATACGGTCAACCGAACGTAAAACACACACGTCAGGCATTCGTCTCAAAACTCTCAAATAAATTCACTTTATTTATATACAGAGTCCGAATTATATTCAACAAACATCAGAATTTATCCAAAGAGGAAATCTTTTTTTTTTGTACATTTTTCCTTTTCGTAAAACACTCGACCGAGCGAACAGAGAAATTTAAAAAAAATAAATAAATCGAATTCATTTGTGAATAAAATTGAAAAAAAGAAATTGTAAAAATAGCATCAACTACTAAATCACTACCAAGTAGCAACGATCTTTTTAAATTAATTCTATTCATTTGATTTTCTTTCGATTTCGGTCGGTGTATTGTAAACAAAAAAGTAAAGCCACAGTGTGTCGAAAACCGAACCGTTGAACAAAGTGTATAACGAGCCGAAAAAATAAAAGTTGCGAGAGAAAAATTTGTTTGTGCACTAACATATATCACTTATTGCGAGAAAATCCTTTCGCTCGATTTTTTTTAAGTTTTGATCAAACAACAAAGAAAAAAGTTTAACCACCTAATTTGTGATTTGTTTTTTTAATTTATAAGTTTTTTTTACCGCATACAATAAAAGATTTAAAAAAAATTTCGTTTAATTTAATTCGTTTCGCGTTTATCTACGATCAACACTGTAAACAAAAAGTTCTAATGAAAATATTTAAAAGAAAAATAAAGCGCTAAAGCAATAATCGAAAAATCCATTTGACACAAACAAACAAACAAAAGATATAAGAAACTTTGTCTCTCTTCTCGATTCGTTGATAATCGCACGGTGATTTCATATTGTAAACATTGCTTAAACGATTTCACAAATAAAATCATTTAGAAAAGATTTGCTACGTGTTTGTCATCGAACCGATCAAATAAAATAATTTTGAAAACGGAGAAACAACGTAAAGGGGCTTTTATGAAGCCATTTGTCAAAAATTCCAATATTTTGCGACTCATTGACTGAAGTGAGAAAATAAAAGCAAATCCAAAATTGAGAAATATAAAGTCAAGCAGTTCTCAATCAAGTGTCATTTTCATTGTGAAATCCAAAACTGTACACAAGAAAAAACTTTTTTGTTTTGATTGATTGTTGCTCACAACCACTTCAACTAAACAAAAGAAAACATTGGACATATTTTCTTTTTGAGGAAGAATACGGTGCTTTTGTGAAAGAAAAGAGATTCGAACAGTGATTTAACAAAGAGAGGCGAAAACTCCAGCAACTATTCTCTTAGAATTTTAACGGCTAAAAAGAATATTTTGAGGGGAGAAAAGTTATATTGCGTGCTCTCCCGTTTTGTCTTGAACATAAATAGATAATATAAAATCAAATATAAACAGCTCTTAGACTCATTTCAAGGTGGCATAAAAAATAAACACACCAAGAAGAAAATAAACGAGACAAAGTTTGTGAATGTTTTCTTTTATCCGATATCTTGAATAATAGAGCGATATTAGAGTGAGAGTGAGAGAGACACCATCAAATATTAAGTGTAAATTATCCACATAATAAGGGACATACAACAACAGAAAAAAACACACACATTTGCCATATACACAAGACAATTTTCACCTAATTTTTTTGCACACCTGTGCCACAGCTTTTGAAGTGACGTTGGTTTTGTTAGCAACGGTGGCAACAAGGCCAATATCTTTTTCTGACGGAGAAACAAAAATTGGCAAAGAGAATCGATAAAAGCGATAACATTGATTGCAATTTTCTCTCTTTTACCTGCGAATCACTCGATAGTCGAAAACTTGACGGCACACATACACACACACGCATACCGAGCCAGCCAGCCAAAGAGAAACCAAAATATCAAAGGGAAATCTGATAACACAGCACCCAAGTGAAAAGGCAAAACGCAAGCGAAAATCAAGCAGCGCCAGTTCTGAGTACGAATCGACGGGTAAGCACAAATTACATTTATTTTATTAATATTTTTATGACCACTTTTTTTGTTTGATACTTTCTTAATGGTTGCATCTTTTTGTTTCAACATCGAAAACTTTCACGTTTTGTTTTCGTTTTGTATACAACGTTATAGTAGGCAATACTTGTGTATTTTTATGATATTTCTTGTGCCGTTTCAATCTTTAACAGCATTGCCATTTCAGCATAGGAAATGAGAAAAACAACATTAAAAATTGCGCAAATGAAAATTAGACGGAGAATATTTTCTTAATGTTAAATGTACATGGATTTACATTTACTAAGTGAGATTCATAAATTAAATGCTTTTAAATGCGCAGAGAGAAAGAGAGAGAATGAAAGAGATAGAAAAAGTGGCGGTAACGACGTTGAATATTCTTAGTCGGCTGAATTGATGGTATCGAAACATCAAGTTACTTGGGTGTTAATCTACGTGAATATGATTAAATTAACACAGCAAATTTTTTTAAATAACTTTTTCAAGCGCGACGCACACATTACGCTGTGATTGGGTATGGGAGTGTTAAGCAGTTATTTACTCCAGTGGATTTGGCATCATTGTTTTGCAGGACTGTTTTTAGATCTGCTTTCAACGCCTTCGACGACGACGACACCAACAACTGCGATGATAATGTTGTTGTTGTTGCCGCCTGCCGATTGTATTTCTCTCTGTGTGACAATTTCCCATATATTTATTTCCGACGTTCGTTTCGTTCCGTATGTTGTTTCTTTGCAGCATTTTGTGTATATTGAATCGACAATTTTCTCTAAACGATGTGCCTTTTCCTGTATGTCGACTGAACCGAACAGCACATGAGAGAATGTTTGGCGTCACATTCGTAAGCAAAGTCATTCTTAGCAACAACGACAACCACGACCGAAGCGAAACGAATGAGAGAGAAAAAAATTCAAATGTTGTAGCTGTTGAGGAACGTGATAATGGTCTTAGTGCTTTTTGCAGCGCACTCAAATGGAGCAAAAAAGGAAAGCCATCGTGCATATATTAAAATACTCGCAACACCTAATTGAACCATGTCTGCATGTGATCAAAAAAGCTGAAGGCATGAATATGCGTGGCAAGCATTTTAAAAATCGTTACAAGAGCCGAATTCTAGAATAGACACAACAACATACCATATCGTTTTACAAAGAGAAAGAGAGAAAAAAATGACACGGAAAATTGCAAAAATATCATGCACGTCGAATTACCATAAAATATTAGCATAGCCATCGTGTATATACAATGTACTAAAATATTAAATTCACATTGAATCTAGCATTGAATGCTACGATCCAAAGACACAATGTCGACGAGAAAATTCTGCAAATGGGCAGAAGTTTGAAGTGACTTTTTTTGGAAATTGATCTCATCTTGTGTTGTGCACAAAGATTGAGAAATCTTTCTGGCGAATTCATTATCAAGCCTACTTGATAATTATGGATCGCTAAAAATAAAAATGGGCAAAGCTGAACAACAGTCGGCTTAAGATCAAAACTGAAGTTCAAATTAAATTGGAGAATGGATTTAAAGAAGCATTCATAAGCAGAAAAATGCAATCTTTTTTTATTGTTATTTTCTTTATGCTTGCGTCATGCTGTTTCCATAGCACATGAAAAACAGACTCAAATAAAAATAAATCACATCAATAAGAGTTCGTTGCTAGTATCCGTAGGCACCGAATATTATCAAAAATGCGCCGCTGTTTCTAAATACGATGTTGAAGCGATGACATGACAACAATATGAAAAGGCTTGAATACGAAGGTCACGTAAAATCATATAATGTTTCTCTTCTCTTCTGTGCTCTCTTGAGAGGAAAAGGAGAACTCTTGCGTCTTTCAAAAAATGAAATTCATGACCAGCGATATCATTTCCGGTAAATGATGTTGAAAAGCATGAACTTTGCCTCATTGAAATGTATGCTCTTAAGCATAATTGAGTTGCTTTACTGCATTTTTCTCCGATAAATTTATCGTACACAGAGATTTTCCGTTTCACAACAAAAATGAAATATATTTGTAGTTGTTGACCTTACTTGGGTCATGAGCGATGTTGAAACAAAGCGTGTTTCAAAGCATTTCTCATATCGATGCGTCACTTCAGTGTTTGAACTTATCGTTGAGTTTTATTTTTCGGTGGCGATGCCCTTTTCTCCCCGATGGTCATCTTACTCGCTTCTTTATTGTTGCTCGAGCAAAATGCACTTTCACAAGGATAAACAAAAGAAAAAACTGCTTCAAGCAAATCCATTTGAGCACCTTTGAGTATCAAAAGGTCTTCCATCCTGATTTGTGCACAAAAAGTATAACATTCACAACACTTTCTTCACCTTTTTATCCCTATCCACAAAAGCAGGAAAAAGTTAATTTTTTTTCGGTATCGGATCTCATTTTCCTTGTTTTACCTTAACGGTAATATTTATATTCATTAAATCTTGCGTCACGACACTCGACATTCTCCACTCACGACAAGCGAAAAAGAAGACCTTACTCGAACAGGAGAGCGGACATCTAGATGTGTATGGCACCTTTTGATTTTCATGTCATCTTTTTTTTCAATCTCTCCTGTTCGCTTTCCGATTCTTTATCTAGTTCATGTTGCGTGCATATTCCTTTTTATTTATTTGGCGAAGACCGAAGCGATTCCTTCAAGTCGAGATAAAAATGTGTGGCTGCGAAAGCTTTGTGTGTGTGTGAAAAGTTGTGGTTGTTGCGATTCAATTTTATCTGTGGACACCATCCATGGCAGATGACAACGGTGCATGCATTTTGATGAATGAGAACAAAATCCAACTTAGAACACAACACAACAACAAATGACATTATCAAACGCAACCATTGCACGGTAGCTGTACATTATGTGTCCGACGTATTCATTTTTCACATCTTCTCAATTTAAGCAGCTTTGTGTGATGTCAGTCCTGCTTCCCAATAACACAGCTTGCAATTGAGCACAAAGACATATGAATATGAGACATGGTTTTGTGGAGATGACACTGCTGTGTTTGATCATGTCAGTGAATAGAGCACGCGGACTTCATTTCATCTTTAAATAGAATAATGTATAAATCTACAGGATTGATTCCTTTTCTGGGTCAAATATTTATGGGACTTGAAATACATTTTTCTTTTAATTAATGATGATACGTGGCGGATGGTGGATCTTATTCAATGCGACGAAAAATGAAGACACAAAATTCACTCAAAAATGTTTCCAATGTGTACGTTTCCTTTTTTCTCCCCTAGCAAAATGGGATTTAATCCAAAGATTCTTACTATTATGGTTTTGATGGTGCCTTTAAATGTTAATACGTTCCTTTTTATTCCATCAAATCAAATCGAGAGAAGACGAAGAACAAAAAGTTGAGACGAAATCGCTTTGTTTTAATATTAAAGCCCATTTCTGAACATTGGTTTTCGCTCTTAACGGTCATGCCATCAAATCGATTGATACATTCAAATAACCCATCAAAGAAGATAAAAAAGACACTAGCAAATTTCCTAATGTTGATTCGTTCTTTATCGATACATATACATATATTTGGCAAATAATTCAGTTTCTTCGTTTTCTCCTTTATTTTTCGGTTTTTTGCTTGCTTTTTGGATTTTTGGTTCCGTAAATATATATTTTTTCTATGTTTTTCCCGTTTTCATTCGGTACTGGTTTGCTATTATCATTTCGATTTCATCTCTTGAAAATAGAAATGCCAACGCCTTTTGGTTTCAGGGGATGATAAAAGAGATAATTTACGAACACACGCCGCTATAACTTTCGGTTTCGTGCCCGTTTGCTACTTGCTATGTTACACACAATTCTTCTCTATTGAGATATATATATTTTTTGCCGCTCGGTCTTCTAACACTCATACTCTCTCTATATCCATCTCCCTCCCGTTGTTTTGTGTGAGCCCGATATTTGGGCACCGAGAGATTGGTGCGTGTTGAGATGTAATTTCGAAATCCTTCAGTTGATTTCTCGCGCCGTACACACACAAGCACTGCGTGCATAGCAAGAGCTTGATAAGTTGTATAGTAGTATTTGGTGAGAGTTTTTCGTCTTCTTATTCTTCTTCGTCGTCGTCGTTGGTGTTGTTGTTGTTATTATTATTATTGTTATGGTTCTTTGCGCGCACAAAAATGCCATCAAAATGCACAAACGTTAAGAAATAAATATCAAGACACACAAATCCAGGACGATTTCTTGAAATACTTACGCTCTTATCGTGCGCATAATATGTATCAGTTAAAGACATCAAAGACGAATGAATAGGGAAAAACACAGACGCGCTAGTAAAATGATATCAAAAGACAAAAAATATGTCGGGCCATGAATGTTTACGCATTTTATACGACAGACAAAATGAGGCTGACACGTCTTTCAACGTAGACTTTTGTTTCTCGAAAAATAAAAAGAACGAATAAAAAACTCACGGATCAAGCTCATAAGATGCAAGAGAGAACACATTGTAAGCGGCTGTAAAAAAATTGTCAGAAAAAAGCACACATATATCCCTTCTAATGGTGTCTTGTTCTTCTTGCGCTCGTTTCTATTTCGTATTTGCCATTTTCAAATGCTTTGGGGCTAGGAAATGTGGATGGTCATGAAGTCATTTAATGATTGTTTATTTTCCATTTCGTAAGTCGGAGTCGGACAACAGTGTATTCTTCGTTGTCTGAACATCAGAATTAAGTCGCTTTCGCTCTCTTTCTCTCTCTCTCACACACACACACTCGTTCACTTTTACCGTCCGAACCGGAATTGTGTGCTTGTGAGTAATAATGATACTGACAATGTTTATGTTGCATGGATTATCATTGATGTTGAAAAATCGGCCATTTCACATACTATGTGTGTTCGAGTATGTGTGTGAATGGTTTTTTTTGTTTGATTAAAGGCCACACAATCCAAAAGGATATTGCTTTACACAGAGAAAATGAAGCAAAAATCTAATCGCATGTGTGGAAAATGAGAAAAATA